AGCCCTTAGTCCAATAAACATTTAAACAGAATCTACAAAGAATAAGCCTAGGAGAAACCATCATCCAAGCAGATGCTTGGCCAAAGGCTCAGCATGCAGAGGGATTTGGCAGGACTGGAGGAATCTGTCTTGTGCTTCTTGCAAATGCCCAAATGTAGAAACTCACAACCTTTCCACTCTACTTGGAGGTATTGGGTGAATAAAGCTCTGACAATATATACAGGATGCATGCTGTTCCACACTTGCATGGCTTATTCTAGGACACGGCAACTGTTTCTTTGGGGTTATCCCAGGCTGATTGGTGGTGGATGGGTAGTGGTTAGGGTGAACAATCTCTCTGTAACTTAGTCTCATTCACATTTTTAGTACTAGTGGCTTTCTTTCAAAAGACTTTGTGTCTGCCTTATTATTTCTCGTATGTGTTTATGGGAATATTAATGGTCTGAAGTAATATCTGACAAAAGCCAGTGCCTGTGCATGTACACACATTCACTGTCTTCTTCTTACAGATATGTCTCCATCACCAGAGGAGATTAGATTAATGTTACTTTGTTCCTTTTTGGAAAAAATGTACCAATGTTTCCTACCTCACTGCACTTTTTAGACTTATGGTGCCTGCTGGTGATGTGAGCAGACATTTGAGTCATACAAAAGTAAAACATTAGGAACTGGTCTGACATGTAGGATTATGCTACTTTCAGGGTTGCTGGAGACCTTTTCAGTTTAAAACTTGGGAAATGAACATTCTAGATCTCCTTACAAGTTGTTTGATCACCTGCATGAAATACAGATAACAATCAGGTCATAGTAACAGCCCAGGAGAACACCTGGAACGTATTTAGTCCCAGATCTTCTCTCATTTCTCGGTTTCATGTGTTTGCACTGTTTGCTCTCCTTTGGGCTGTTGGAGCCATATGAAATTGCTGAAGCTACCTATGGAAAACCCAATCCATCCCTGCTGACTAGAATTAAGATATCTCGTCTAAATATTTTAGATGGTTCTGTCTGGTATCCTTGCTCCCCTTTAAGTATTTTAAAAGTTTTGATCATGTTTTCCACTGCTAATCCTTTATACTAGGATGAAGATAGCTCCATCTTTGGACAGCAGTAATAGTACGGTCAGCTCTGGTCTGTCATAAAAGGCAGGTGTAGTTTCCTACTAGCTGGAGGTGTTCCAGGGCTGTGAATTGAATTTACATAGCATCTTCCTCCGTCCACCTTCTTTGCAGCATTTCCTCTTGTCTAACTTTGATTTCCTGCCTCACTTTGTCTGAATTGCCATCTTTGACACTTTTTCTGATGTGCTCTACAACATGTTGGAAGCTAACAATAAAAAAAAGGAACAATGTTGGGTAAACTGAGACTAAAAGATGGTGGCTGAAAAGTCTGCTTCTACTGCATATTTTGCTCAAGCAGTGATATATGTATAGAAAGGGACCTTTTAGTAGGTGTTGGCTTTATCACCACTTAAAGGATCAGGTAACGATAGGACAAATAGGGCCTCAGGCTAAACTGTCTGAATGTAAAGTATGGATTATGAGGTGCTTCAGAGGAGCCGTACTAACTTGGCTGAGAAGGGTCCCTTCTTCCTCATATGGGCACATTACGGGTTTGATTATGAATAACAAAATAACAGCACTGCTGTAAATGTAGTGCACCACACAGGACTCTCTCATGTGTTCCATAAGCAAAAAATATTGAAAGTAGGTGCATTGTGTAAAAAAAAAAAAAATAAATAAAGTGGGAGAACAGGGGAGAATGCAAATGTTGTCTCCTTGACCTTTTTTGCACCTTCAGGTGATTTTTGTAGGCAGAAAGTAATATTGACTCAGGCTTTCTTGCTCCTGTACTGGTCATCAAATATATAGGATGTACTGAAAGCATAAGAAGGAAGAAACTGGGTCAGTTCTCACATTTTATTGTGGTTGAGAAAAGTAAAAGAAATCAAAGAGGAATAGAGAATTAAAGGAAATGAGGAACAAATAGAAAATTGCAGAGAGCTTAAAGGATAAATGGCAATGGAAAAGAGGGTAATATTAGAGATGGATATAATGAATGGATGAGAAGATCCACGTTATTTTATACACCATTTACAGTAAACGAAGGGATTTGTTAAGCACTGCACACTCCTCTGTGGGTATATGCTAGTAGGTACTCTTGTCTCTTCCCTATCCCCTCACAGGAGAAAAGTAGTCAAATACAGATTTCTGGCAAAATCTTCAGTATGACTCTGAATAGAATATTTGCTTTTGTTCTCTTTTCCTGTCTGAATTTTAGCGACGTGAGACCTCTCTGCTGTGAATGTCAGACATGGGTAGCTGAGTCATACTGAATAAAAGGGAAGTGTATTTGACCTGCCATTGTTAGAGTGCCCTCATCACAGCTGTTTTTGTTACCCATGTGAGGTCTTTCCTTCTTTGCACTACTATTCCTGTCTAGGTCTGCACACTTAATTATCTTGAAAGTTGGTCCCATTCTGTAAACCACTTTAAACATTCATGGTCCAGAAAACTACAGGTAAACCAAAAGTTTAGATGCAGATACTAAAAGGTGTACTCAATGTCCTACTTGTATAAATTTCACTGGGGGGTCAGAGCCCTGTTGTGGAAAAGCAGCATCAGTAAATACTGAGGTGGCATTATCCTATACCTGAATAATCCTGAGAAGCTGAGGGCAGAGCTAAATGAGTTCTGCCTCTTTCCTGCCACCTTGCAGAGTCTTAGGTCTTGGGGACCAATGACCATCACTTTAGGATCCAAAGAGGAAGCGAGTGAGGTGCAGAGGTAGATCCCCCTCCCACTACTGCAAGCAAGTCCCACAGTGAGGTCTTGTTGCCATTAATTCTGGAGGGACTTGTCTGTGCTTATAGCTGTGTCCCTAGGAAAGGACAAATAATGATAGAGCATGCAATAGGGTGTGCTATTTATGCTGTATGCACAATATTTAAAGAAACAGAACCTTGCTTTTCTGTTTGCCAGTGCATGTAATCTATGCCTCCAGCTGGGAGGAGTTGAGGAAGACCACCAATAGGCAATACTAACCCAAAAGTTACTTGTACTTGTGTGCCATTTGCCATGTAACTGTGCCTGTAAAATATTGGGTAGGCAGAACAACTGCTCCCTTGAGAGAAATGAAGAGGATGATGGAGATGAGTCATGTTATTGCTACACAATACTATTCAGTTTGTTTCCTTCAAACTGATAAGTAGAGATTTGGTCTGAAACACAAAAAGTGCTGTGAGAAATTAAGATGAGATGTTATATAAATGTAAGAAAAGAATGATTATAATATTTTTAACCTAGCAATCTTCCCTTTGGGTGCTGTGCAACAAAGGGTAATGAATATAAGTGACTAAATCTTTAAAACAATTTTTTTGTTCATGCTTTGTAAGCCATTTAATTCCCCTCCCACCCACCTGCCTTTTTGAAAGACTTCAAGGGTGCAATGATGTAAAATTAGCTGCTGAATCTTTGGAAGGAAGCTCCAGGAAACAGATGATATGCTTTCAGGCTAGACTTTCAAAACACTTCGCCAGCAGATCAGATTTATTCTGTACTGGATATTCAAAAGGGAAATAGTAAATTATGTTGCTGTGTCCCTTGGCTGAGGAACAAACTATTTTGAATTGAATGCATTATGCTGGAGTGGGGAATGCAGTATTTCTCTGGGGTGGGCTATGGCTGAAGTCATTCACTTTGTCCTAGATTTTGGAATGAGCATCCAGAGAGATGATTTCACGTAGCTCTGTAATGACATTTGGAAGAAGCTCCTTCAGGAACGCTAAAAATATCCTGCTCTTTATCCTCTTTTTTCCTGTTCTGAAGCGGTCAGATTGCTTGACAAGGAAGAATTTTTTGGGGAAAAAGTTGGAGGTTTATAGCCTTGAATCTATATTAGGGATACAGGAAATTGCTGCCAAGAAGCATTTTTACACCTTCAGCTGAAATGTTATCTTCAGTTCTGTATTCAGAGCAGCCTTTGTTCTTTCCTCAAGTAGGTATGCTAAGGACAGGGTCTCATGTTTTTCCATGCATTAGTAACAGCTGTACTCATTTGCGATGTCTCTTCCTTCCATGTAACATGACAGTGGATATACTGAATCATTGCATCATTATCAGGAAGGGGTAGCAGTTCTGCATACTACTTCTGCCCTTACACCTCTAAACACAAGTACAGACGTATAGAATTACAAATCTAACCACTGATTCTGGGCAGATTTCAGAGTTTGTATGGGAAGAAAGTATTTATTCCTCCTTTGAGGTAACAGACGGTGTCTGAACACTAGCATGTAGATCGCCATGGATCCACTTAGCCTGCTCTCCTGTGCAGGTACTGTAAGTGAGCATAAAATTCTATGTAAGGGATATGTATACATTGAGGTATACTGACCTAAGGAACAGTTTGTCTTGCTTACTTTTACTTCAAATCAGACTATTTCCAAAATTTTGGAGGCCTATATTTTCATCCTCTTAGCATGTAAATTCATGTCCACTCTGATTTTGATTTTAAAAATCTCACAACTGTTTAATATTTACAATTTTTCTGTCTGTGCTTTGACTCACATAGAAATAGTGACCAGTTTTTCTTTGATATGAATACTTGAATAAATTCTTGTGACTCCATTTCTTGATTTTTCTGCTGTCTGGAAACAGATTAATGGGTTATGAAGACAGAGGACTGCTGGAATCACCTAATCAGATCTCTTATGTAAGACTTCCTTGAATTATTTCTGTTTGAAACTAGAGGAAGTCTTTCAAAATACAATAAAGGCAAAAATCTTCCAATCAATTTTAAGTAGAGATTTCCTTTTTTAAAAAAAAAAGTTGTTTTGAATTGTTGCTTTTTAGAGAGTTATTCAGTCCATAATGTTTTTAAGGTGGTTCTGATCATATTTTTAAATAACCTTGCTAATATAGTTGATTGGTGAGCAATAGGATTAGGAGCACCAATGTTTGCTATTTGAGACCTTTCAACACCTTTTGCTCTTCTGTCCTCCCTAGATACCGCTAGATACCCAGCTAAGCAAGGGACTACAGTGCCATGGTAGTTTGGAAGGGTGTATGTATTGACTGCCCAGATGACAGGTGAAACTGCTGCTGCTGCGGGTTTCTGTCTGACTTTTCTTGAGTAGAGGTCAGTAAAACCTTAAACCAACTTCCTCCTTGTCCCCCTACAACCCTCCCACCCCCCCCTCCCCCCCCCCCCCAGCTTGATCTTGGAGGTTTCTGTCCAGCTTTCAGACTTGGAATTGACCAGTCAATTCAAAGCTGGCAGGGGAGGGACATAGAGAGGGGAATGGACAGATTGGTGATGGTCATGTCTAAGCCTCATTTCCTACAATGTCTGTCTAACAGCTGGTGAAGTCCTAAAAGCCAGAAGTGTGAAAGACTTATTAGTTTTAATTATGTCTTTGACTTGACCCCACAGATTCAGATGTTCCCTAACTTTACGTTTCATTGGAGGTGTAAGCTTTGCACCTGGCTCCAGTTCATGGAAGATGTGAGCATGATGAGCTTTGGGACATTTATGTATGGACTTTGTACATTAAGAGCTCTTTAATTGCATTGTCCGTGTCATTTTCTGCCAATGCAGGATGACTTTTCCTCTGCATTTTTAATGGCAAATGGAATATTGTATCTTCATAAATTTGTTTTCAAAGCCAAATGTGTTGTATCATTTCATTTCTCAAATCTAACAAATTGAGAATTCAGTACCACACGGTCATGGTAGACACAGAATTTCACAGACATTAAGATGTTTTATGGCTTTTAGATTTGCTGAGAACTATAATTGTAAGAGGCACCAGACATTGAGCATGCTGCTATGTTGCTGGAGAAATTATTCCTCCAGGTCATGGGTGAAGTGAAGTGATGAAGCAACAGAGTTAAAGGAGTCAACAAGCATGCTGCCCATTGGCAATTACTTTTGGACTGAGGCTATAATGATTTTCTGTATGTTACTAAAAAGACTTTCCATCTTTATTATAGACAGAACCAGCAATAATAATAAGAATTCATCCCATTACTGAAGGTAGAGTCTATTTGGCCAGTTATCAACATTCATTTAAATTCCTCTGCTGGAGATTTAAACTGGCACAAGCAACTATTGCTGAGGTCATAAGAGTGAACTGCATTTCTCTTGTCCTAAGATGGCTAGCCAGTCTGTTGTGCTGCGTGCATACATGCTTTTTATACAGTACTGTCTATTGTTGCCGGTGTCGATGATCAGGAGCATTCTTGCCCAAAGGCAACAGGCTCTAGGAATGTAAGCTCTTCCATGAGTCTTTGCCTTTTTCACACACACAAAAGTAATAATAGCCTTGGCTAGCTTATGCAAGGCACTATTAAAATCAAATACAGAACACTGAACTCACTTGTTGGAAGTCTGATTATGAATGGGAACTTGATTAAAAAATAGTTGCTGTCATATCCAAAATAACAGAAAGAAAAATAACTGTTTCTGTCACTGCTGTTAGATGCACAGGATATTTAAAGATCTATCACTTAATCCAGTGATAGAGAGAGAGCCATGTTAACAAGAAACAAGTGCTATCAACTTCTTTCATGTGTTGACTTAGAATTCAAGTATGAAAGTTGTCTGGTGGCTTGAAAGGGATTATGCTTATGTGAAATGTGTATAAAGATGCCATTTTGGATTGGGTCCTATGTGTACCCAGGTAATCCACACTATGAATAAGATACGTGGAAGGGTATGTATGTTCTGAAGCATATGTAGCAAATGTAGCGATCTCACTTTGCAGTGGTCCAACACACATTACCCCAAGGAACAGGAAATTGTGTTTTGTGAATTTTGGATTCGAACGATCTTTCAAAATTGAAGACAAAATATGGAGTTCTTACATTGGTTTGAGGCCAGACACATGAAAATTTATGATTGTAAACAGGTTGACCTTTCCTGAATCTTGCTATGTTGGGTGAAGACACTAGTGTCCCTACTAGCTCAGCATGGTCTATCACTGAGAAACTGTGGTGTGTGTAGTTCTTCCCTGGTAGATAATAAGCCAGCTGCCTTTGCTTGCAGTTGTGCTTGTGTGGGTCTTTCAAGCTTGGCATATCTTTAGGTCAGTAACTGGCAGCATGCAGATGGTGCTCGGCACTGCAAGATGCTTCCATTTTCAGCTTGCTCGGCTCTTGACAAAATGAATGCCTGTCTACAACTTAAGCATCTCATGATTTCTGTTTCACATCCCCAATAAAGTTAGATCTCTAGAAAATCTGTCTCAGAAGTTTAGGTTTGACTTTCAGACCAGCATTAAAACACTGGTGTAATTCAGGAATTATTTTTTGGCAGCAGGAACCATAATGCATACCTCTGCCCTGTGCTTGTGCAGGTGTCTGGGTGGTTTGGTTTTCAGATCCTGTTTGCCACACAAATGTGATGCATGCTGTTAGGGCTAAGCAGTACGAAGGTGTGAATGAGCAGCCCAGAGCCAAGAGGGACTAAGATGACTCTTGCTGTATTGTTGCTGAAGATGTAACCGCAACTTCAACTTTGTACTGCTCCTGGTGTTTAAAAAAAATAAATAAATTTCAGAAGTATTTCTCTCCCCTTGTGTGGTGGCTATTAGTGGGAAGGCCAAATGCAGTTTAAAGGCAGTGTATAACTTAAAAATATTTGTACCTTGAATTTGCTAGAATTACAACTCCTGTTCAGATGTTGTCCTTATAAAGAAGTGAGGGAAACAGAGATTGGATCCTTCCAGACAGTGACAAACTAATTGAAAGGAGGACATTAAAAATAATTTTATCAAAGTAGTATCCCCCTGAGAGAGACCCTGCGGGGGTCTCTCTGGAGCTTGGTTTTGTTGAAAATGTACAAAACCTGGATGATGCATTTTAAGTTGGTAGATAACACTCAAACTTGAATGTGCTAAGGAACTAGAAGTTGAAGAAATTTCCTTGATTAATTTCCTTGATTAATCAAAGAAATACTTCAAAGAAATGGGATGCAGTTCAGCAGGAGTAAGTATAGAGATAAGAGGATTTGGGTAGGAAGCAGTACAGATGCAGGACAAAATGATGTAGGTAGCTGTTCAGCAGAAAAGAGCCTGGTGCTGTCATGGCTCAGCAGCTGAACAGGAACTAAAAGTGTCATGTTATTGTAAGGACAAAAAAAAAGCAAATGCTATAGAGGGGTGTAAAAAGACAGGTTTGCAAGCTGTGTAAATTGAGCTTTCTGATTTCACATTCCTCCTGGGTTCCAGTTCTGGATGCAGAAATGGGTCTGCTGGGGAGAAGAACTAAAATAGAGGTTTAAGGGGATGAAAAGCAAGCAAACAAAAACCAAACCCAACAACTTGCATGTAAAGACTGAAATAATTAGGCTTTCTTTACTTACATAAGAGAAGAATGAGAGAGGAAATCATAGTTTTCAAGTACGTACCAAGCAGCTGTGAAGAGGAAAGAATCAATCTGATAACCATGTCCCTGGTTGTTAGAACAGGAAGTTAATGGGCATGAGCTAGCGCAAGAAAAGTTCAGATCAGTTTTTCATACTTTTAAAGACAAAATGATCATAAAGGACTGGTACAAATTGCCAGGGGAAGCTGAAAAGGACCTCCAGTGACAGAAATCTTAATAGATTAGACAAACATCAGGCAGGAAAGGCATGGGTAGAGCTCCACTTGCCTTGGGGGCAGTGGAGTAACCTGTATGACCTTTTGAATTGTAGAGCCATAGAATGGTTTGGATTGGAAGGGACCTTAAAGACCATCTAATTCTAACCCCATGCCATGGGCAGGGACCTCCCACTAGGCCTTTCTCAAATCCCCATCCAGTCTAGCCTTAAACACTTCCAGACTTGAAAACTTTTATGGGTCACTTTTTCTGTTATTCTGTAATAGTTGCCTAAAGTCTGAGCAGTGATGTTATTGTCCAGCTGAACTCCTGGAAAAGTACTGCTTCATGTGCATTTTGACTGAGATATAAACTGCTACTTTACACAAGTTATAGCTGATGCCCCTCAGATATGCTGATTCACTGGAGGTATCACTTCTGGACACCTATTGACACAGTGTTTTCATTTGACAAAAGCAATAATGTTGCATACAGGGAAACAGAGAGGCAAAGTGTTAATAGAATGCTTTCTTTCAAGACCAAGTAGAGCAAAAATGAGTTTATTACTAAAAATTTCCTTATAATATGTATATGTATTATTCTGGAGTCAACCTAAGATTAAAAAAAATCTGTGTTTCCAAATATTTGTTTGCTTTGTTGTTTGTTACCACTTCATAAAACTAATAACATATATCAAGCTAGCTGTAATTCTATTTAGCTTTGGGATGAAGAGTATTAAATAGTGAGGCTCATAGTTGTCACAAATATTTGATTCTTGAACAGTGCCAGACTGATTTAATTTGAAGAATTGTTTGACTATTGTGCTTGCATTTTGTATATATTATATCCTTGCTAAACACATATTTTTGGCAGCCATATAGGATAACCTCTCTGTGGAGGCCTGATGCTGATCTGAATAAAAATGGGATGCGATCCGTCACGTGATATTTATTATTGAATCTGGAGTATGAGATGCTAAGGCTGATGGGCCCTGCAATATTGTCTCAAGAAAAAGGTATGTGGAGGGGATGATTTGGTTAGACATGGAAGAATACCACGCATATGTGCTGTTCCCATCTTAAAATGAAAAGGCATAAAATATCAAGGTGGGAAGAACCTGGAGAAGGGAAGAACTGGAGAATCCTTAATGATATATTCAAATGGATTTTCATTTATCATCATTTTCATGATAAAGCATCTGAATCTACTACACACCAAAGTATGTTTCCAGGTCTTGCTATATTTGCCACGTATTTCATCTATGCAGAGTAAAGTTCCCTAGTTATGGCACCTGCAGTAAATTTCTATTGCCTTTTTGGGCTATGTTTTGTCAGAATAAAGGTAGATTTGCCATACTAAATTCTGAGTATGCTTCTCCTCCACAGTCCATCTCGTGAGGTGGTCAAGTGCCAGAAGGAAAAGGGTTGGTACTGAAAGCTGGTGAATGTGGTGGTGTATATGATGTGAGAGGCAGTTTGATGGAATACAGCTCCTTCAAGGACTCTTCCTTATTGTTTTTAGAGACACCAAAATGAAGGATATTTTATTATTTTCAAATATGTTGTCTCTTCTCCCCTTTCGTATGTTTGAGGTCCCTTAGGAAAAGAAAATGGTACAGGACCACAAGAGAATAGCTGGCAGCTTAGTATGTATCTGTAGTTTGCAGACTGTGTGTTGCTGGCTTCCCTTGCCTTACCCTAGAAACCAGAATTTCAGTCTTTTTTTTTTTTTTTTTTCCCAGAATGCAAGCAGATTTATGCAAACCTTTTGCTCATTTATCTTGTGGCTACTTAATAATTGTAAGGCATTTTCTAAGACAAGGCCAAAATTTAGCTAGTTCAATGAGTTTGGATGAACAACAAGTGGATCTTTTAGAGTTGGCAGAACAGGAGCTGCATGGGGATTTGTTTGCGTTGATGTTGCTGTTGAAATAGCAAAGATGCCTGATATGCCTGGCACAAGAGTCTGAAAATATATGAGAAAGCTGCTATCGCTTAACCTCAGAAGAAAAACAGAATTACTATGTTGACTTTATGAGGCAAGTCTATTCTTACAATGACAGCTGCAGGAAACCATGATGTGGCTTTC